TCTCTCTCTCTCTCTCTCTCTCTCTCTCTCTCTCTCTTTCTTTCTTTCTTTCTTTCACTTTATTACAGTCAATTAGACCAGTACAGGTCTTTATTTGTAGATGTAGATATTTCGAATTGCTTATCTCAGAGTAACACTGATGTAAACTGATGGTTAAAAGTCCCTGTGCATTTATGACAAAACTTAAACGTTATGGAAATGCATTCTTACTTTAAGGCTAATATATAAACCTAGATCCCTATGTTAATGTCTTAAAGGTATTCAGATTATTATTATTTAATATTAAATTATTAAGAAATACGTTATAAGAAAGTCATCCTCCCTCCCCCAAGTATTTAAGCTATGGCTTTTATATAATGATGCGGTCTTTAATTTTCCTGATTTTTCAGCACTGTCACTAGGTATATATTCTGACCTTTTCTTTACAGAATTCAAATTAAAAAATAAAACAACTATAATATAACCTGTCTCATATCCTGGCTTGGTTCCTTTTTTAATTTTAAATGTAGTCCTATTTCTAGCATAGAAATTTGCAAGACACACTTGGAAGATGCTATGATGGAAGAATAATTTTGACTCCTATTTTCACAATATATTTACACTCTGGGATAATCCCAGTTTCAAAATAGCACTACACACACACACACACACACACCCCTATCTATGTATTTTAGAGTTTATGAGTTAATGCGGATATTAATACTTTGAATCGTCTTATTGTCAGTCAAGTTTTCAATGATTTGAATAATTGCAAGAGAACCTGGATTGTCTAAAACAACTCATGAATGATTTTTAATATTTCTGATTGGTTTATTCATTTGAATGATTACAAATAAAGAAACATGCAGTGAATGGTCTCTGGTCAGATTAAGAGCTGTCCATATACACTGTTAGCAGGATAGCAGCCTAACGTTGCCCTCTGCAGTAGGCAGAGTTCCACAAAAAGTGAGATTAACTGTGAATGACCATGGAACATCAAATGGGGAGTGGCTGAAAAAAATGATCTTTGTTACATTCCAGATATGTTGAATTCTGGCTGAGAATTCTGGGATCTATAGTCCCTCCTAATATGCGTGTGCTGGTTTGGGACAATATCACTGTGTAAAATAAGACTTTTGTTTCTTTTTGAATCACAATGAATAAATCCTTCATTTTCTAACAAACTGAAAATAATTTTAAAACCCTGTTCATTCAAATTAACTCTCTCATAAAAATACCTTATATTCTTATATCTAAGTTTTTTTTCTGATTTTATATAGCAAGAAACAATGTTGATATCATACATTTACCCCTATCTTTCAGACAATGATATGGAATATAAAAGAGGAAACGTACAACACAATGACAATGTGCCATGCAGAAAGGTCTACCACACCTTCTGAGCAACTGGGGATAAAATCAAACTATTTCTGGTGGCAGCCTTGACTCTCTGGAAATGATTAGCCCTAGCTAAAAGTATTCTATTATATTCTATATATGTCTGACCATATTTCTATGAAACCATTTGAAGGGACTTACCTGCAACCCAACAGCACTTCCATTTTCCTCTGGTGATTCTAAGTCGCTGTCCTCAGCTTCAGGTAGTTCTTGATTCTGGTGAAGTTCCACCAAGGCATTCTTCATAGTTGTTAGAATATCCTCTTTCTGTTGGCACAGTAGGGCAATCTGTTGCTTTACTCTTTCCACCTCCTCATCCTATGGAACAATGATATTGAGACATGTCATGAAATTGGGAACATGAAAGAAAAGAAAATTGTGAACGGTTTGTGACATCTTACTGTAGCATGATTTGCATGATTTCCTTTGGGTGATTTCTTTGCACTAAAGCATTTCCTTAGCAGGGTTGAAAACCAGGCTAAGGGACCCAATACAAAATGTAAAGCCTGCTGGATCTGCATACAGCCAACCATACAGGGAAGATACATTTAGAAACTGAACAGCACTCTGAACATTCATAGTTGCCTACCTGTATTTGGGAGCTTAATTCCTGGAGGGCAAGTGGTCAGGAGTTCTTGTGTGACAGATAGTATGGAGTTTACTCATAATACTTTGCAAGGCAGGTTAATTAAGACAGAAGCATCACTTCCTACAACTCTGGAAGAGGTTTTTATTTTTTAAAAACATTTTTCCTATTTCAAGTGGGAAAGATTGGGAAATCAGCAAAAGTGAACTTCTTGTATAAGACAACAAAAACATATCCTAATAAAAAACAAGTAAGCCTTCCACTCCTACTCTGTGCCTGCAACCTTGCCTATGATTATTTGCATAACGTAAATATTCTTTAACTTAATAATGGGGTAATTAAATTATGCACTTTAATTAAGGCTGTATGCTATGCATATTACAGGAAGATTTGCTAGTGTCAGTGCAATTTGAGGGTCAAAAGCATTCCGAATGATCACAATTCTAGTGGAAAGGCAGGATATAGATCTAGTCACATGAACTAATTGTTACTTGGCTTTTCCACCTCTCTCAGCTTCAAAATGTTTGGGCTCCTCTTTTTCATTTTAATCTATTATACCATTTCTTCCTTCATACAAATGTCTGGTATGCTGGGGGCCAGGCCACAGGACCATCTACAGAGCTGTGGTGAGGAGTATTCATGCTATCTGATGGATAAAGATATTGGATCTTGCCTCTACCTGGGCAGATCCAAGTGAGCTGCCTGGGACACAGTCTTCTTCATTTATCTAGACTAAGTTTGATCCTGTGACTACTGAGGAAGTGGACAAGATCCTCCAAACTGTCAGCTCAGCCACTTGTTTGTTAGACCCTGGCCCCTCATGAGTTGTCAAAGCAGCCTGGGAGGTGATCAGAGGTTGGGCTGTTTGAAGGAGCGGGGGGGGGGGGGGGGGGG